ATCACTGCTCTTTGGGAGCAGCTTCCCTTGCTTCACTTAATTGTTTCTAGTGGATTAGTCTCGCTGAAAACCTATTGTTCCAGAAAGCAATTGAAGGTTAATGAACAAGTCTGTTTACCAGACTGGTCAGATTTTGTAATACCACTGGCTCTCTGATCTTGTGATTGTCTTAGCAAGATTTCTACTGAATCTTTGATAATGTTTGAGCACAGACTGTGGTCTTATGTTTTCTGACATAAAAGTCAACCAATTCTCTTTTTCCTTGGGAGCTTCTGATTTTACTCACCGCCAGCAAGCCAGTTCTGAATCACAGCCAGTGATGCTACAGGGCAGGGCAGAACTGCGCCTATGGTTTTCCAACTCTACACCTCTGTGCAGGAGTAGAAAGCCCTGTCTCTCCCCCAAGGAGCAGCGGGGGGTTTCGAACTGCATATCTGCAGCCCAACTCAGAACCACTATGCCCCCGGAGTTCAGGGAGTTCCTGCTAAACCTGCATGTAAGGACTTTGAAGATCATAATTAATTGGAGCACTGATTTACTTGGTGAGCGAGGTGCTGCCTGGTTTCCAAACTGAGTATTAAAAACCTGAAGTAGAACTTTCCCACATGGATCCTAGGCTGTAATCCTCGTGAGAAAAGATCGCCAAGTCTTTTCTCCCACGGCATCATTGGTGGGTTCCAGGCGCTGACTTTGAGTTTAGCGTCAAGCACTTAACCAGCGCACCACCGCACAGCAGTTTCTGAATGGTGTTCTGAGTTGTTTATGTTTGCAACCCGAAACCAGACTTCCAGATTCCAAATCTAAACTTCTTTCCACTGCCCTATGGGCCTGTCAACTTCATCCTTTTTAAATCAGACAGACCTGGTTTAAGTCCTGACTCTCATTTACTTGCTTGTGTTGTGTCCCCCAGAACGCTATGTTCAAGTCCTAACCCCTAAGAATGTGGCCTTATTTGGGATCAAGGCCTTTTCAGATGAAATCTGGTTTAAATGAGGTTTCAGTGATTAGAGCAGATCCTAAAGAGGGAGGAGATGTGGATTCAGAGACACAGAATAGATGGGTGAAGGCTAAGCAGAGACAACAGTGAAGAAACGACAAGCCAAGTTAAGACCAGGGATTATCAGAAGCCAACAGAAGCTAGAACATAGAAGGATTCTTCTTCTGGGCCTTTGAAGGGGCAAACATCTTATGTCTTGTCTTCAAATATGTCAGAGAATAAATTCCTGCTGTTTTACGGCACCCAGTTTGTAGTGCTTGGCTTGAATAGCCTCAGAAACGAATGAATGCATATGTACAATTACTATGCTATCTTGAGCAACCAGGCCAGAGCTTCCATCTCTGCACCTGTAAAACCGTGAGATAGGGCAAAGCATCTATCTCGTATGGCTGATGCGTGAAAAGCACAGGACCTGTCCTCTAGCCCTAAATGCTCAATTATTAAGTGTTATCATGTGGAGTTCTGGTGACGCTATGGGTTTGGTGTTGGGCTGCTAACTGAAAATAGCAGTTCAAACCCACTAGCTACTCTGAGGGAGAAAGACGAGGCTGGCTGCTCCCTTAAAGACTTAGCGACCTGGACACCCTATGGAGCAGTTCTACCCTGTCTTATAGGGTCCCGGTGAGCTGAAAT